GAGGAGGAAAGGTTGCACGCGCGTGGGTATGTGACTACCTACGTCCTCACTACCACAACCACTGCCACTGCCACTACCACTACCACCACCACCACCACCACCACCACCACCACCACGACTACTACTGCTGCTGCTGCTGGTGCTGCTACTACTACTACTACTACTACTGCTGCTACTACTACTACTACTACTACTACTACTATACTACTACCACCACCTCCTACTCCTCCCCCTACTACTACTACTACGACGACGACTACTACTACTACTACTACGACTACGACTGCTCCTGCTGCTGCTACCACCATCACCACCACTACTCCTGCTGGTGCTCGTAGAAGGGAAATGGCACAAGCAATGCATCTAGGCAGTGGGTCGGAACATGTCAGAACTGCGGCATCGCAGTCGCAGGCGAGAAAACACAAGCAAAACTTACCCAGCCGAGAATCTACATAGATCACGCACACGTAGCGAGTGATTGCGGTCACATGTAGCAATGGTGTTGGCACGGGGAAGACGCAAAAAACGTACCCCATCGCACACTTCCAGCGGCCGCATGCTTCCAAGTTTCTGTGCTCAAACATGGCCTGAGACCTATCTGCAGACCAACTTGGATTTTCCGGGGTCCCAGCGATTTGCTTGCAGACTTGGTGCGGCCGTGCGAAAACTCCTCGCCGCCGCCTGTGGGCACTTCCACTTCAGTTTCTGTCAAGTGGCTGCACTGTCAATGCTGTTGGAATGGAAATTTTGTCGAAAAGCGCTCTCGATCCGCTTGATGATAAGACAGTTCGTGCTTTACAAACGAATTGTAGCAAAGTTGATCCGGTCGAGCCGTTGACCTCTCTCTACCATGCATTCCTTGACTCGCAGACGAAGCTAGCATAGGTCTCTCGTTGTGAAGAGGCTTCTTTCGGGAGCCCTTCGAAAGACACGCTGCTTTAGCCTGTTTGATTAAGTTTCATGAGTCGTAAAGGATCTCTTGGAAATCGCTAACAAATTATCGTAGCAGTTTCACAAACCCAGAGCAAGCCTTCCCCCAAGCCGGAGCTAGCCACAGTCGGGCAGATATGGAAAGTCCGTGCAAGCGCATCATCAAGACACAAAGGCTACACTTACACAGCTACATGCCATATGAAATTGCAGGGTGGATCGTGCAGTGCATGAAGTGGAACACGCGTGCCAACTTCATGAGCACATACACCCTGAACAAGACCGGATCCAATGCTTCTGAGAATCGGGGAATGGCCCAGCAGACTCAACGGCATGCTGCCAGCCTATGTCCTCCTCTCCGCGAAGAAGCTTAACTCGCCACATCCGTACCTTCCCGGTTGCACGTCAGGCAGGAACGAGTGTCCGAGGGGAACTTCGCTTAGCCGGCGCCTGCAAGGCATGCGTTGGTTGGAAGCGATGACCTTCAGAGGCGAGGAGAGTGAGTTGGAGAAGGTGCAGAAAGCTTCTTAGCAACAACGATGGCCTGCGGCTTCACTCCCCCGCTCAAAAGACAGACTTATGACGGAAATAAAATTCTGTTGGGGCGAGAACTCTGGCCACCAGGCATCGTACCCGAAGATCCCAGACTGAGACTTGGGCTGTTTGGCATGATGGTCCAAGTGGGGAGCGCATGTCCGCCCAGGAGCTCCAAGGGACACACCTCGAAGTGACTCCGAGGAGCTGCTTTATGGACCGTTGGGAGAGTTGCGAGCTTTTTCTCAGCGACGCAGAGATAGGTTCGGGGGCACCGACCTTTGAACTCTGAAGCGGAAACGGGAGGGCACGCAGAGACAGGGAGAGCCCTGCTCTAAGACTGTGGCGCCATACGGTGGGAAGACGACGAAGTCTGTCTCATCGCGTTTGGCCCACTCCTCCTTCTTGATTCGTGCATGAATGTCACTCGAGTTTCCCTGTTCAAGAGGCACTGGCGAGCGAGACGAGCCGAAAAGATCACATCAAAAGGCCAACCTTCTGGAACTGTTGATGGCTCTACTACGCTGACCCAGCCCAGGCAGCAATTGCGTTGGATGTTGGATGGAGGGTCCTCATCTTCCGCAGTTTCTCCTGTGCCAGGGCTGGTCCTGCAGGACGAGGGAATTGTGAGCTGTGTACATGACACCAGGATTATTTGCGTAGCACTCGTACTTGCATAGTTGCAGAATCCCTTGTCGCTGAATTGGTGTGCCAGTGGACTGTTGGGTCCTTGGTTTTAAGTTTTAAGTTGAAGGACATGCGACATGGGCCTTTGCTTTCATTGCTGGGTATTAGTCATTTTGGTCACAAGATATCAAGGCGATTCGTTTGCAAGTTGCCCTCGAGAGTTCTTCAATTCGTTAGATGGTCGCTCGGTCACGCATGCATTGCCTTCAGTTTTACCATGAGTATATATTTCCATAAATTATTAAACAAACTCACACAGCCCAAGAGCATGCGTGTTTGGTGATTTGCGCTTCCTCTTCTTAAACTCTGACATACCATGACCCTAGAAACCACAGGCATCTGAGGTGCTGGCCGGATGACACATGTCTCTCGCAAACGAGAGGCACCAAAGTTCTGCCTGATTGCGGCTGCTGCTGGAAAAACTGTTTGCACCCCTAGAGCCCCAGCAATGCATTCGCGCGAGTATGAATAAGATGTCAACAAGACCACCTGTTGCCCTCGGAAGCCTCTGAAAGCCCTGTAAGCCTCCAATTTCTGCAGGGCTGGGGCACGGACAGCCGTGGACTGAGAAGCTGTCGCCGCAGAGTCACTGTGTTTGTCCTGCCAAGGCTTATTGGCCCGATGCCCTTACAGATCAAGCTTGTTCAAGCTGTTGCTAGCCTCCTTTTCGAGAGTTGTGCGACTGTATCAGTGGCTGGCGACTGGTCGTGTTGGCCGGTGAGTACAGAAGCGATGTCGTGCCGCCAGCTGTTGAACTGTTGGCTTGCGGGAACTGTGGCAGAATTCCATCACGGTGGTAGGCCTCCTACATGGCCACTGCGACGCCAAACGGTTGCATGGCACAGAGCGCATCGCGGCATCTCTTTTGATCTTCGCTCTTTCTCGTTCTTCTGGCCAGCCTTTGTAGAGAGTCATGACTGCTCCTTCAAGTTGTAAGTTGCCAGCGGTCCAGCAGCCGACATCCCGGAATCACAGGACAGGCCAGGATGCGTCTTGGCCATCTCTCCAACATTCTAAGTGCAGGCTCGAGCTGCTGGACTGTCCTGCAAAATTTCATGGGGCAAGCATGTGCATGCAATGAGCCACTCCGACAAACATAGTTTCAAACTGCAGCGAATGAAAGTCTAGGACTCAGGATCGAAGCTGCATTCCACTTAGCACTACAAAGTACAAAGTGTCCGTGCCTGGTAGCCAAGCTGCATACAAAGAATAGTTTGCCTTTCCCGGATACGAGCAGGGGGTCACACCTAGCTCCACGCGGTCAGTTCCTGCCAGTGTCGAGCTCCGTCCGGCATCACAATGAAGCACAACCGCCTGTGGACTGCTTTCGTTGACGTCCTTCATTGTCTCTGCAACTTCGGGCAAGGTATAGCCAGTGAACCATAGCAGGCAGTCTTCCAGTTTGGCAATGGCCATCAGGGTGGGAAGCCAAAGCTTCCGATATGGTGCGACGGAGGTGCCGGCATTCATCGCGACGATGAGATCCACGGAATGCAAATTCTCCTTCTGTAGGTCATGCCAGTGGCGTTTCCAGTGTTCGACATGCAGGCGTCCGTCCTTCCAGGCTTGTGCATGTATCGTGCCTGGCACGTCAGGACCGCAGAATACAAGATGCAAGAAAGGCTGGGAGCTTGAAGTCCCCTCAAGGCCTAAGAGACACGCAAGGAGCTTGTGATGAAGGTCTTTCAACCCCCTCTCATACTCCAAGGATGGGCTAGGCCCGAGGATGCAAATAGTAATCGATCTCTTCGGCAGAGGAGGATCTTTTGCACCCTCTTCGGATGCCTTCAATGAAAGCCAGGCACGAAGGGCTTCCCCAATCGTGGCAACCGCTGTCCATTCCTCAGATATTGCCACAAGTACGTCTTCCTCGAGATCGTCCTCTGGCAAGAACTCAACTCCTGCAGCAAAGTGATGCCAGAAGTTGCGCTGCTCGTCAGTAATGGGAATCAGGATTGCCGGATGTGGGATTCCTGCTCGATCCAGAGCTTCTGCCTGTGCTCGGGACAGAAGCAGGGACCAAGCTTGCGCCAACTCCTTGCAGTCCTTGCAACTCCCTCGCAAGCTGCAAAGCCGCTTTGCCTCCTCCCGCAGACCTTCGGGCGTGGGGTCATTTCCTGATACAAGTTCATTGCAGGCCCGCTGCAGCTCAACGTCAATCTGGTCGAAGGGGCCCAGCCAAAGAGCTTCTATGCTAAGGCCATCTGCGGCAGGACCACGGCTTATGTTGTGCATCCGAGCACCCCAGCAGATGCTAAATGAAAGAGAAACTGCTAGCAGATGTCAGCCAGACATGCCAGTCGAAGTGCAAACCCTGGAATTTCCTGTCTAGCCCCCCCACAGTACACCGCCCAAGTCTCAAAGTTGCAAAAGTGTAGCATGTGCAATTGCTCCCAGCCTGTCACCCCAAGACCTTGGCAGATGTCAGCCCCCACATGACGGAATCAGTGGTGGCAACAACAATTGCAATGCCCACTCCCGTGGCACCAACAAGTTCCTTGTTCTGTCTTTCGGTCAGATTCCTATGGCGGTCACAAGCTGCTGGCACTTGTTTGGAGACTTCGAGGGCAGCGCAGGTTGCTAGCACGGCTCCATTCGCGCCGGCGGGCAGTCTCGTTGGAGCCCCAGAAGACCTCTAGACCATCTCTGGGCGTGGACGGATGGATTACACAAAACGAATTTGCTGCATGTGTCTCGACAAGCACACCTGCCACTCTAATTGGCTCCCCCGAAACGGCAAGCAATGGGGTGGGAACCTGTCACATTGAAAAGTGGCACTTCAGCCAACCTCTACTCCTGCTCCCAACATCCAACATTCTTCTCTCCCAACGACCTGAGGATCTTTACGGAGGAGCCATGGGCACCTTCCACCTTTCTGCAGACTCCCGCATAATGCATTGGATTGATTTCGGCTGTTGCGGTAAAAGGTCTCCGGCAGCTCTCGCCCACACTGACAGAGCACACGGCTTGCCACCGGCCAACCCAGCGTGACGTTCGGCTATTCTGGCACTGAATGTGGTTGGGGTTGACTTGGCTTTGCCTGGGACCTAACCTGAGACAGAGTATTAGCCACAGGGCCGCGGATTCCTGATGTGCTCACAGCCCTAAGCCCTAAACCCTACACCCTACCACCTCATGGCCAGGCGGTTCAGGCCGTGGCAGTGCGGAGTCTGCCAGGTGTGCTGCTGCCTGTGCCTGGGCGTCTGTCCTCCAAGGCGTGTGGGTTTGTGTCGTGGTGTGAGGGGTGCTAGTGTCAAGAAGGTCAATGAAACCATAAGGCATATTCCATCGAACAAGATGTCAAAAGGAAGGAGCGCCCGAGTCCTGAAAAGGTGTGCTCCTTCCTGACGGAAGGCTGCTGACCCCGGTACCTGCAAACGGAATCGCATTGCAAAGGATTTGAAAGCCTTGCTTCCCTTTGCCTGGTCGTGTCGGCCCGGCAGCAGAGCCGAGCCTGCAAAGACGGGCATGCGCTGTTGGACTCAAGACTTTTAGCGACGTGCGGTGGCCAGCTGTGAAAGCGCAAATGCCAGCCTGCTAGGACTGGGAGATGTAGCCTCCCTTAGCATCGTGGCTTCGGCTCTCAACGGCAAGATGATATGCTGAATTCCGAGGCCTCGGCATGCGGAGGCTCTTGCCTCTGCTCGCTCTGCTCGGGGCGTTACAGCCGTCCTGCTGACAAGACGACAAAAGACTGTTAAACGACCGTCGATGCGTCTCCCACCCCAGAGCTCCTGCTTGATGCCGCCGCCCAGCTTATCCAAGATTTCCCACATTGTCCTGTATCCTGCAAATATAACTGATCGAGCTCCCCACGCCGGTAAGCTCTTGTGGGGCCAATGGAGCACAGCCATTCAGGAAACGCTAAATGCATTGAGCATTCCAAGAAAGCACTCGAAAGCGTCTGCTCACATCAGTGAGAAACACTGAACCTGGTCGAGGGTTTCGTCCGAAACAAACCCCGCCGTACCATCACGGAAACCGAGCGACAGAACCGTTGCTACCCGACTAGATCCCTGCAAGGAGCAGTGCAGCAAGTTCCATATCGGCAAGCCTGCCAGGGAGTCTGGCAAATTCTGCACGCAAACTGGTTGCACTTCCGTCGCAGCTTGCAGGGACCACCTGTGGCGTGATGCGTCTGTATGGCTTTCAAAAGCCTCGATCCCTCAGTCAAGGTCTTTTGTGACAGGTCACTATTTTGAGTCGCATCGAGAGCACATGCTGGGAGCAGGCTTGTCTTCGTCCCAAAGTTGTTCCCACAGCTCTGATTCGGCAAGTCTGTGGCCCTCCGACCCTCGAAAAACCTACGCAAACCCGCTTCCCGCTGCTTCCAGCGTTTCAGATTACACCCCGCTGGTTTTAAAGCGAGACTTGCCTGCACTCACAGCTCTTCTCTCACAAACTCAATGCCACCATGCTAGGAGCACGGCGCTGCAAGGCCAGGCTTCGGGCCTGACTCTCTGAGCTCTCAGTTGCCCCAGCTTCAGGAGTCTTGTGCTAGGAGGGGATACTGACACGAGTCTCAGAGCAGCATGAATGTCTGCAAAGAGTTCAGCCCTGGGCGTTCGCGGGCTGTGTTGCCTCAAGAAATTTGCAGCCAGGGATTCAGCGAGGGTATCCGGCGCGAAGGGTGCTCCACATGAGACTTCCTACTGCCATGCAGGTAGTTTCAGTTCAGACTTCGGTCGCTCATGCCACCCCTGAAAGCCTCAAACCTGTCGGAGATCAATGCTGCAATGCCTCGACCATGGAGCTGCCCTCGAGACAGTATTTCGTCTTGGGCACCTGGGGGCGTCTTGCGAGCCCTTGCACATGGGAGAATGAACAAATAGATCCCCACGCTTCACCTACAGCTTGTGCTCACTCAGTCATCTACACTGCTGCCACGTGCCCGTTCTACGAACGTGCGGCTCCGGGCTCAACTCTCACAAGTGCGCAGATTGTGAGAGACTTTGGTGGTCATGAAGGTGTGGTCTACGCAATGAATATTGCCTTCGTCCTAGCTGTTGCCTGGCAGCCATCTGACAGCTCTGGGTGCCAATTCGGCCTGGCGGCTCTGTCCTGCGGCCGCAGCTTCGGAAGCTGCGCCGGGAGCAGGGGCACCTGAATGGCAAGAAGACTACGTACTACGGCTTCGAATTTGCAATCTGGCGCTGCCAGAGACTTGCATTCTTCGGAACTCATGCAGGCTTCCAAGACAGGTTTTGAACACTGGCCTTCCGGCATATCACGTTCTGGTACGACACAACATGCAAGATTTTCATTGGAGGAATCCCTACCCCCGGTTCAACTGTTGCAGGTCTGCCGCGTTGGCGTGTTGACAAGAGGTTGCACTGAACACTTGCCGTGTGAATTTTCGCAGCTTCAGGTAAGCCTAAACTACATAAACCACACGTCCAAACAGAGTTTGCTGGTTAAGTAGATCCATATATAGCGGGGTTCGATGTCCCTTGCGTTTGATCCAAGTTAAACCCACCGAGTTACAACAAGACCAACAGAGAGAGCAGCTCGGGGCCGTTGCTTGAGTAGCTCCAACCACCCTGGCAAAGAGGCTTAAGGAGGCTGTGCCAGCCAAGATCTCTCAACAAGTTGCGAGACAACTTCGAACATGTTTTCGCCCTCTGGGTGTAAGAACTTGCTCTTGGTCTCTGGGCTGCGCAGCACATTCGAGTTGTTGAAATGATTCCTACCTGTGCTCTTGATGCATCGAGGGCTTTTCGCAGAACATGAAACTTACTGTAGCTTCGACAAACACCTTTTCTGTGACTCTCCCCTTCACAGCTGCAACAGATTCGCGAAACATAATTTGTAAAACCAGGTGCCTGTCTCACATTTGCAGCCTTCCTTTGGATTCAGAGTATCTAGAACCACGCACCTAAAGCTTGGGCTGAGGGATCAAAACAATCAAATCGGGGTCAAAAACATATAACATGTCGATTCATGTCGATAGGGATCAAGACAATCAAAATGTCATAACATGTCGACTTAGGAGCCGTGCTGAATTATCGTCCAACTGCTGTACTTAATGCACATCATTTCAGAGCTTTGATGTTGTTTGATCCCAGTTTGATTTCTGGATCTCTCTCTGTCTGTTCATCCCTGTTTGATTTGTTGATGCCTATCCCTAAAGCTTGCCCAAAACCTCCGTGTGAGAACAGATGCTGCTCGCAGTCACGATGCCACGAAGAAAAATAAAATTCATCTAGAACTGATCATAAGTCCGACATGCCCAAGCCACCGTATGGCTGCACAGAATGCCTCGGCTCTCGAAACTGCTCACGCTGGCTCCACTGGGATCGTTGATCTGGGGTCAAAGCCGACATCGATGGCAGAGATAAGGGAACCCGCCTTGCCGCGGCAGCAACCGACCACCGAGGGCATCCAGGATAGGCAAGAGCCAGGTCCTTGTGCAAGATCATCGCATGGCCGCTATTCGCCATGAAGCCTGCGAGAGAATGCCAGTCACGCGAGTCAAGTCCCTTCCCCGGTGGCATGCAAAGCGTCACCTCCGAGCTGATCCCCGAGATCCGACACTCGCCGCGTCAGGCTGTGGGACTCTTTTACGAAGACCTTGTCGGTCAGGGCTACACAAAAACGATGTCAACTCCACAACCTTACAATAAGGCATCTGCTGGCTTGCGGGAGACCATGCTCTCGTTCAAGAACTCGCACAGCTCCGTAGAATCCTGAACAACAGCGCTGCAAGAGCAGTGTTGGTCTTCAACACTTTGAAGATGCGGCCGGTCGTGCCGACATTTTGACATGAGCCAGCTTGCAGCACAACCAACATGACAAAGATCAGCAAGCTTGCCACCAGCCTCATCCACCAGCACTGGAGGCAAGCGACAAAACCTTGTCTTCACAACAGCAGGTCGAATCAAAGTCTTTGCCAGTACGGATTGGACTCCCAACACACACACGCATAAATGAAAAACAACACTGGGTAATACATGTTATGTGATGCTCGTTACGACGTTAAGGAAGCGACCATCTGTATGTGTTAAGTTTCTTGACAGCTCGCAGAAGCTCCTGCATGCCATGCAAGGACGAGACGTGTGCAGGCGGAACATTTGCAAGGCCCTCCGATCCCTTCCCTGCCTCACGCTGTGAGACCTCGTCGTAGCTGTCGTTGGGGACATTGTCGAAAACATCGTCCTCTAACCTGTGCAGAAAGGTAAAGAACGCGTTTCAACGAGCAACTCGCATCCTGGTGAAACTTCCAGGTGTACGACCAGACCTAGGACTTAGGAGTCATTAGGACAGGGTTGTACGGAGAGCCTGGCAAGAGGCTGCAGCCGCTTGTACGGCATCATGTTCAAGGATGCACCTCAGCCAAGCCGAACGAAACTTCGGACGGTTCTAGCATTCGGGAGGAGTGAGTGAGCCAACGTCCACATATCAATAGTAGCGGGTCAGCAAGCCCTAGGTGGCTGGTTCAACGATGCAGGGATTTGTTGCAGAACACTTTTCCGAAGGAGAAACAGAACCTTCCATCGCATGAAGACCCTGTAGCACCAAAGCCAATTACCCTGTTTGTGGGGCTGAACGGACACACGATCAACTGGGCTCGTGACCCAGGCAGAGAAATCGCACCTCCTCTGCTGTCGTGGGCATTTCCACATGGGAAAGACATAGGTCCTGATCTGTCATGGATGACCCAAGAGTATTCAGCATGCTGCCATGCAGGACGCAAAATTCCAATATGCGAGGTCTGCAGACGTTTCAAAACAGGACGGAAAGCACGCTGAGCCAGCCGACACCATGGAAGTCTTGTTCACGGTGGTCGTCCAGAGATTGGAAAGCTTGTAAAAACTTCAGAAACCCGTCCGCTCTCGGTTTACCTACTCCCGTGAAATGTCCGCTGACTGCAGGCTCCAAAGTTGCAGGTATGAATGCTAGGCGGATAGGTCCAACGGATGGTCGCAGCGGAGGCCTGCGTCTGATGGCTGCTGGTGTCAGAATCAGTGCCTCGGGCTGTGTGCTGACGTGCCAGAAGCTTACGTACACTCATGTCGTGGACCATGAAAGCTGAAGCTGCGCTGACCGCTTAAACCTCCCAATACCGTCGTATTCCCACTACTTGGATTTCCGGTGGGCGTGGAGATACACATCACCCCAGTGACTGCCCCCCAGGTGGATGCTGATTCAAGGAAATGCACATCGGTGCAGGAAGTACCCAACAATCTTCAACAGCAGTATGGACGCTGCAGTTTGTTATCCGTGCCGAAGATTCAGCATGTGCCGAAATGTCGTGGACGCTGATGCTATCGGCACTGTTTTTCAATGCGGTTGTGCCAATGCTATGCAGACACTTGCTTTTTTGTCCTTTGCAGTTAATTACCAGCCGACACCCTCCAAGATCCACGTGCCAAAACCTGGTTTTTTGAATCATGACCGACATTCACACACAGCAAGCGAATCTGCAAGGGTACGCTGGTGTCGTGAGGTTGTGCTACGCACTTGCCACACGGAACCCGGGCCATCTGCCTCGCGAGGCTCATATTAACCTAAAAGGACGGGATACAAACAGTCAGCAGATGCCAAAAACTGAGTATTGGGCTTCGACATAGATTCCCAACATGCAATGAACCCAACGTCGACCCGGAGTTGATGTACTGTAAACCGGGTGCCCACAATGCCAAACCGGAGTGAAAGCATGTGCTAGGCCCGCTTCCGAGATGCAAAACGCCAGTAGAGAGTTGAAGTTTGGCCGTCGTTTGTTAGCCGTGGTGAGATCCCTTTCCGCAATGGCCTTTATATGGACGGCGGTCGAGGTGAATTGTCCATTGGCCCCTCCCCTTGTGCCTACCACTTTCGCCCTTAGCAAAAATTCCCGCAGAACCATCTCCCTGAAACGATATGCCGATACGCAGCCTGTGCGTTCGCTCAGGAAGTTGAGGTTGTGGCGCTTCCGACGGCTCTGCCGAGGCTTCGCCGGCACTTCAGTCCAGGACTGATTGGTCATCGAGGACCTGAGAAGTGCCAGCGGAGAGATGCAGAGGGTTTGAGACCCTCCGCTGCTGGGCTGAGATCCGCACTGAGGCCGCGAGGAGCTGCTCTCTTCGACCTCCAAAGCACAACTTTCCTTGCAGCCATTGCTTGCATTGCTCGCCCGGACGCCTCATGGGTCAACTCTGCATAAGCATCCCAGACTGGCCGCCTGGATCGGACACAGCAAGCACTCCAAGCCCGAAAATCCTGGACGAGCTAAGGCGTCGAGCATGCAACACAGTTCAGACTCTCAAACGATCACGTGTCACGCCCCAAGGCTTAGGGGTCCCAAATCAGGTCCAAGACAGTGCAGTGCAGGTATCCGCCTCCGCAAGTCCTCTAAGCGTGCTGCCACCTGCGAAAGGGCTCTCACCGTGCGAAGTAAGGGTGTAGGCTGACTGAAAGATCTGAAGCTTCTGGCAACATCCCTTGGGAATGACACGTCTCTGTACAAGGAAGTTTCACAATGATTCACAATGCACCTCATCGGCTGAGACCGCGAAGCTGCGCTTGAGGTGCCGGAGTCGAGTCTCCGCATCCCTCAGCTGTTGAGCTTCAAGATTGGCCACAGTCCAGCTTTGACAGGAACTCAAGAACGAGCTGCCTCTCAAGAAAAGCCCATGGGAAAGAGCTTCTCTGCAGCTTGTGTTTTGTGTTGCTCTTCTTCCTGTTTCGATGGAGACTGAAGAAGCCATCACCACATCTCAAAGGGCGGCACAGCATGTCGATGGCGTCCCTCTCCGAAGCGCCTCTGGAAGGAGCCCACCGGAAACAAGCAAAACATCTGGACAATCCTTCAGTCTCCTGCAAGGCTGCAAGGTCGGGATTCTGGTTAAGTCAAAAGGGCATCCAATTGCCTTCGACAGCCGTGGTGCTGGGCTGGATTTGCTGGGTCTGGGAGGGGTGGCTACCAGACATGAGGCTGGCACCGCTTCCCCCCACACTGCATGAGGCTGGCGAAGTGAGCCTTCAAGGCTTAAATCTGTCAGGTGTTCAAGGAAAGCTATAGCTCAACCAGATGATGCGAAAAGACTGCGCCTGCTTTCGTTCCGAGAACGCATCAAGGACCTGCCTCGGCCGCCAGAGTCGGAACATATCGGTCCGAAAATGAGATTTTGACGGCTGCTCTGAGGCATAACGACGAATGCCCCTGCTGCACTTCTCAGCGAGGGACAGTAGGCTTGCTGCTCGGCCAAACTGCGCCCTGACGGACTCGTGCTAGGCCACGGTGTCCGACGCAATGCAAAAATGATGTAGACGCATCGATGCTGTTGGGTTGGTTTAAACCTTGACATCCTGTAATATGTCGATCCAGATCCATTGGTGGGCAACCCTGAAACGACCCTTCGCTCGCGTTTGCGGAGGAAAGCATCGGGTATTCACCTGGAGGGCTTCACCAGGTGGCAGTGCGGTACCTGAAGCGTGTGCATCCTCAGAACCACCTACACCGGCCGAGACCGGCCGGTATGACTCATGCCAGCATTCTTCCGAAAGACAAGTGCCAACAAGTATTGGAAACCCTGTACATACTGCACCAAGCACTCCCGGATTGACACTGTAATTGCCAGAGCACACCTCTGCGGCTGTCGAATTCCTGCACCTTTCTCTCGAAGAACAAGTAGTGATCTGCCACTACCATTTTGCCTGCTCTCGCCTTCCCATCCCGGCTCCGGGCCTGGGCTGGGTGACCCTAAGTGGGCACTGGCTCGTGCGAGCCTCGCAGATCAGCAGACTTCCAGGCCCCAGGGCCCCCCGAATACTTTACCGCCCAGACCCTGCAAGGCAAGGTCTCGCAGCACATTGACACCCAAGCAGCACTCGATGCCGGGAAGTCAAAAAAGTTCGGCGACATGAAGCGCTTTCCCGAGGCACAGGCGCATCTTGTGCTAGCTCGCTGGCATCGCGCGAAGTCCGGAACAAGGAAACCCCATCCAGTGGGTCCAGCCTGGTCTGTGCGGGTCATGACAACGTCTGGTAAGTCAATGATGCACCTTGCATAACTGCACGACTGTGAGCTATGATAATCAGGCGTAAGGCCACAGCGCAAAGGAGCTAGCATGCTCGTCCCAGAAACTGTTCGCCAAGGAGGCGAGGATGTCCTCGTACGCTTGTAAAACGGCAAGCACCACATGCGGAGGGCGGCCAACAAATCCGACTGAATCCCTCTGGCCTTCTCAGCGTCATCCTTTAGAGAACAGCTCTCCTCCATCGACTTCAGAGCCAGGCCCTTATCCGGACGGACACGTGCAAGAACGACGAAAAGCACTTCAGCAAAAAAGGCCGAGTCCCATGCAACATCATGCTGTCCCGTGTCACCACCTGGTTGCCGGCACAAGCTGCAAGCCATCTGCGAGGCTTCCACAGCACCGCGGCACAATGCCCATACCGCCTGCTGAGCTACGGGCCCGGTGCGAGCAGTGTCTTGGCAAACTGTGGCTTCGTCGCATGATCCTGGAAGGCACCCAGGACCGTCGGAGCCTTCTGCTTTGCAGCGAGCCTGGCAGCTCCTGCCTTCTGAATGAGGTCACGAAAGCTTTGGACGACTTGGGGAATGGAATTGCTCTTGCACGTGGCCGACCTGGCATTTAAACATCCAGCTCCAGATGTCTCCCGATGTCTCCCGTCTCCCAGCAAACCGGCTGAGGTCACCCGCCAAGCTTCGGGTGACCTGGGATCCACTTCCCACCTGCCACGAAGTGCACTGGCACCTTTCGAACCAGGGCCGAAGCTGACTCTGAGGCTCCGGCGGCTTGGCGGGCAAACCAAGTGCTGCTTCTGCCTTCGGCCACACAGCAAACTTCAAGACTTCAAGAACCAATGACGCGGTGAAGAGCTCACGATCAAGTCAAGCCGGAAGTCTTCAAATAACCTCCCTTCATGGGATGAACTCCTGCCAAGAGATCAGACCAGAAGTCAAAAACGCCAATCATAGCTCTATCAGCTTTGGCGCTTTGGGTCTTGGCGCGGTGGCTTCCTGCGCTGCGTCTCGGGACCTTGACTCCAGTCAGCGAATCATGCAAAAGCTTCGGCGAATTGCATGTGTGAGGAACCGTGCTCCGCGGCAGATTTGGAGCTCTTTACCGTGTTTTTCCAGGGCCAAAAGTTTATTTCCTCCTTGGGCAGAAGAAATGAAACCGTGGGCACGAGGGGCGGCTAAAACTTGGCAAAGTTTGTCCTCACAAGTCACTAGCTGGGGAACGAGGAAACCAGGACTAGCAGTCCAAGAACCCTTCTGACGCACTGGCTCAGACGGCAGGAAGGCTTGAGCCAAAGGTCTGCCTAGGAACGATTAGGACTCGCTCACTTCTGAGAAGGCCTGATGTATACGCCTATATAGATGCTGTTCTTCATTTTGGCTGCAAGCCTTAACTCGAAATTCCTGTGGCGCCTCGCCCTTGCGGGGTCTTACGCGGCCTCAGTTTTAATTACACACAGTCACACTGAAGCCCACTGAAGACTTGATAAGCCCGGTTAAGATACAAAGTTTCGCCTAGTTGGCACTTGCGCTTGCCCTTGCGCATGCAAGCACAGTGCCGGGTTTTAGGTCCCAAACCTGCATCAACAGGGATAGTCTACAGGCGGGGGTTTAGAACTGCCCCCATTTGGGCAGTAGCAACTGGGTCCGGGGTTCCTGCGCTTGGTCAGCAATACCTGGCCGACAACTTCTGATCAGGATGCATTCTGCACGAGCTCGACGGGCTCCGCAGTCCGCAGAATAAATAAAGAGCCACAAAAAATTCATCGTGCGCAAACAGATGCACACAGCAACCTTCTCGGGTGCAACCGTTATCGTGACAATGCACATGTTTTTCTGCCATGCCATTGAGGAAAATTCTATGCGGGTGCTTGTGGAGTCGATCCGCAGCTTTTCGAGCCGCTTGGAGGCACTTGACGTGAATGGTCGAGAAACATGCTTCCAGGCATTCCTCCATTACTAAGTATTTCAGAGCCATCTAGCACAATGCTGAGGCTTGCAATACTTATCTCCGGCGGCACCCTCGGCAACGCTTCCGTCGCTCTGCCGCTGCGTGGGACCTCGGAATTGCATCACGTCTGCATAGCTCCACAGCCTCCCCGGGTTGCAGCACTGCCTTACTTAGGACTCATCCCTATCCATCCCTCCTCTCATTGCATCACTCTAGACTCTAGGTGCTGGACCTGGGGCAGGTAAAGGTCTGTCGCGGCTTGCTCCATTCTCTGCGTCCCGTCATTTGCAAAAGGGAATGGAAGTGGAAGGGCTAAGACTAAGACAACAACTCCATCAGAATACAGGAGGCACTTAGTGGCTTGTTGTCCGTTCTTACCAGTACTCCCGGCTGGGACTCCCGGATGCGTTACATCTCATAGCTCTGGAACCAGGCATGCAGCGAGTGTTGCTTGAGAGAAGCCCTCCCATCAAACCTTTCGAGCCGTTCGGCTTGTTTTTTCCTCGCTGCAGACTGCTCCAAGCTCGCAATGGCCAGATGCCACCTGCCTGCAGCAAGGTCGCATGAGAGACGGAATGCAAGCCCGGCAGGTCACATCGAGCGCTATGGTCTGCCCAGAGAGAAGCAGCGACAAGCGCTGACAAGCGTCTGCAACACTTCGATCTGCAGAAGCTTCCGGGAGACGCATGCACGCCCACGGATTTTTGCACCGGCGATACGATTCGGCCCACCCCAACTACCTCCGCTGCAACCGAAACAGCATGTGGTTTGTGCGCCTTCTTGACATGGCTTCGCTGATGGCTCCACTGATGGCTTCGCTGTTGCTGGCATGCGGTGGACTCAGCCCAGGCTGCGCTTCTCGAGGCCTCAGGCCAGCAGCCTCACTCCAGACATCTCCACACCTTGGAGGCGAGGCCGTTCACGTCCGTTCACCGCGATCCCTGTCCTTAGTCGCCATCCGTGGCCGTGCACTCTTTCGCCTCACCGCTCCTCAACCTGGGCCCGGCCACACGGTCACGATCCCGCCGGTCACGATCTCGATCCCGATCTCCTTAAGTCTTCCAGCTTGGGGGAACCGTCCAATCAGCTGTGTGTCCGTACAAACCACTCCACAACTGTGCCTACACCATCGCGCTGTGACAGCAGTCAGAACATGTCTTTCCGACTTCATCCAAGTCACGGTCACGGTCACGGTCTCTGCCTCGATCCCTGCGTGTAGGAGACTGGTTGTGCTTGCCAATTCTTCGGACAAGAACTTTAAAGCTTTCGTTGGTGGCTCCGGGCCACGGGCTGAGGGCTGAGGCAAAGGCACGTGCGTCCCGCGGCCCTTTAAGTCTCGCAGGGAAATCCGCAGAATTCAATGCTCAAACCTCGCTACACTGTTACACTTCCCCTCTCTACTGCCTGGGCTACAAACTCTCAGACTAGAAACCCATTCCCCGCCAGCTTGCTCCCCTTCCGACCCAGGGGAGGGGCCATACACCAAGTTGCGACAGCAAGGCAAATGACATGCAAGTCAAAGTGATCAGCTGTGGTTACGAAACGACAAGATTTGTGACTGCCACTATCGCAGCAGGCTTCAACTTCTTGACACGTTTCAGGACTGGTCTCCTATGGTGTTTTACTTTAATGTGCGGACGGTGGACTCCAGTTCCTGGGGTTGCAAGCAACTCTGTGAGGCCAATTTTGGATTCAGCAAGTCTCACACAGCCAACGCGGACAATCACGATAAATCCGTATCTGGGCAGCCATGGGTTTTGCCCGGCTGATCGGGCTGGTTGTCTCACTCTAGGACGCCTGCTCATTGTGCTTGGCCTAGCTGCAGATTCTGCGCTGTCAAGGTACAGAACCGAAGTATCAATCGAGCCGAAGCAGACGACTGCAGAATGCTGAACTTCCCTGGCCTGTCATGGCGGCCGCCTCTGGCTTCGTCTCGGCCTCCTCTCTGCCGGCTGCGACTTCGGTCCCTCTCCTGGCAAAGCTGGGTTCGGCGACTGTCGAATTCGTGGCGATGCGCTATTTTCGCAAGCCCTCGCGTATTTCGTTCTGCACTCAACCCCATTTGGAGAAGACTCTCGGACAGCGGCATTCATCTGTTGCACGGGCGGTCCGGTCCTTCTTGGAGTCCCGCAGTTCTCTCTCATGCACCTGCAAGGTGACAGCGTGACCCAGATCCCCTGCACATAGCTTGGCTTAGGGGATCCGGTGCGCTGCACGCCGGCATATATTCGAGCTGTAGGTTGCTCACGAAGGCCGCCGAAGCGACAGATAAACGCCGTTCGTGTAGCGACGTCACAAGTAGTTGGAGAGGCTTCAGCTGCGGCAATGTGTCTTCTGCCACAACAACACGAGCACAGTCAAAACACGCCTGGAGTCAACAGTCAGCAATAAAGTCACATATATCAACTATCAAGTACGGAAGAAGTCTCGTCACACGACGGGACATCCTGTTGCAACTGTCAGCAAATTATGTCGTGCAGCGCATGACCATGGCCAGTTGAAACTGGGGTTCGGTGCAACGCAAAAGAAAGTTGACACAGAATGCGCTTCGTGACTTCGCGCGCCTTGCTGCCAATAGCTGGCGCATACTCCGGATCCTACGAAGGCACGACGTGGAGAAGAAGCTAGGCCAATCCTCTGAAGATTTTTTCGTGGCACAAGACCAACCGGCTCAAGCAATCAAAGCAGCTTGCGCGATCCTTTTGGTCTACTGACAAGACTAAGACTGAGTACGGTAGAAGCTGGTATCGGCTGCAGCACGTGCAAGGAAAGCGTGCATGACGAGTCAACCAACCATTCGAATGTCACCCTCGGCGGAGCAGTCCCAGAAAAGTGTTGCTGAGTTCGTTGAGAGTTTCAAACAGACCAGAACCATTGCTTTTGCCTTGTCTGACGTAGACATTTGAGCCTGAAATCATGCTTCGCCACTCTGTGGGCGTTCACATGTGTGCTTAACATGCCGGGCTTGGTCACTCTAGGAAGCATCTGCACCAATGCCGCTGTCAAAGACCAGTATAGACCAGTTCTGTGAAAGCCACAAGTAGTAGGTTGACTGGCGCTTCAACCTTAAGCCTCATGTGGTCTAGGGTCCTTGACGGGTTTGCCTTCCCGGAGGTCCCGAAGCCTTAGCTGCATCTTTGCCAACTTGGGAATGATGCTGCTACTTCTGCTGTAAAGCACTCCGATAGAGCGCTCGGGAGTCATGCGGAAGCTGGGACGCGATGAGTGTGCGGTACTACACTACTAACAGCATGCCTCAGTTTTTTAAGGCCTTGTGGACAAGTTGCCCGAAACAGGCCTAAGTGCACTACCGACCTTTGAACTGTGCGAAGAAGCTTTACCTCCACAGGCCTGACAAGAATCCGACTGCACACGTCCCTTTCAGAAGCTGATGACCAAGAAGCATCATCATGACCAGGGAGGAAGGTTTGTTGGATCGCTCCAGGTGCCTCAGCGCTCCGCGGGGTGTCAGAACAGGAGGATCTGTTCAAGCCATCGCTGGATGGCTTATCCAAAGCGCGGCCTGCCGCACAGGCGTTGAGGGCATGGCTTCTGGAGCTTGGCCAGGTCGCCGTCCACGTCGTCGCGATTTTGCAGAACCTCCATTCGGGAACTCTCAACTGCCCGTCCGGCTGTCCTGTGGGTGAATCTGTGTAGCAATTCCATGGAGGAATCGGAGAAGAAACACAAATTTTCGAATAGCAGTTCAGCTCCGACGAAGTTCCGTGTGGACGACTTTTAGGCTAGGCGCACGGGCGGCAGAAGAATTGAACTTTGGCTGGAGACTGCATGAAGGTTTTCTAGGTCCTGACAGCATAAAGGTCACGATTGGCATATCAATCGCATCGAAAAAACGTTTCGAACAAGTCCTAACAAACTTGCGGGACCGTAGACTCAGAGAAAGCGGTCGACAGCATCGCATTCAAACAGATTGGAACTCAAAAAGACCAAACGGCAACCATGTCCACAACATAGTTTGATGTTCCGACTTTGTGGAGGGGCCAAACGGACACCGCGAAGCTCGGCGAAGTCTCGCGATGAGCTAACAATCCAACCCGAGATTGACCGAGTGTTTTGCTAGAGGATGCTAGAGGCTTCTCAGACCCGCACTTTCTGGTCCGTTGCAGATGCAACTGACTAAAGTAAAGCACGTGGGATGAAACTTGTGGGACATGGCCTGTATTGCCCTGGTTTTGCGTGTTGCTGCTTGGTCTCGCAAGCGGAAAACGTTGATGGGCCCTGCATAGTTCCAGAGCTCCAGGTTGGCCGAGTTGCTTAAGGACCACAGATCGAACGAGATCCTATCAGGGCCAGCCTCAGCCAGCCTCACAGCCGCCTGGGCATCCAAGCGATTGCGCTTGGCGAAGTCTTCAATCTGCGGGCGCGGGCTGGGGTGTGGCAGGTGTGTTCTTTACGGTTCACCGTGACGAAACAAGACGAGCCTCGACTATATAACTACCATGTACTACTGTGCCAGACCGCTGTGCTGTGGTTGTCACCTAAATGGTTTTTCGCAAGCCCTGAAGTACCACCGGCAACATCCAGTAACACGATCTAAGCCGACTGTAAGGTTTGCGAAAGAAGCTGAGTAGAAGAGCACGTATCGTAATCCGGCTTGGTTGTCGGAGTAGCCTTCTTGTCCAGCGCCGACATGCCTTTGAAAGTACCCGCTTTCATATCCTTGAGCTTCATCATCAACATTCCTTCCAGAAATGCAAGGGCTAGAAGCGCAAGCGGCAACACATGCGAGCATGCTGCAAGCTCCTGCAGGGTTCTTTGCCCTTTCCAAGCCCACCCAAAGAGCTTGCATGTCCGACTCAAACCTTGGCCACGGCAAGAAGGCATCATACTCCGAGTACCGTGAGCCCTCGCATACGATCAAGTGCAAGGATCTTTCCATGGCCGGGTTCAGTCAGGTTGTGCCGTGCGGCGTGTCTTTTCGCTTCTTCATCTCCTCATCGAGCAAGCGCGTCACCCGCTCATCTGCAAGGGAATGGCTGGTCGTGGCTGGTTGTTTGAAGCCCTGAACCCTCCACCACACACACGTGCCCTGGAAAAAGGATCGGCCTAGACCATGGTACTCCGCAAGCTCGGCCACTTGCGGGTCAATGCCAGCGCTCTTGATTTGCTCGTACTCAGAGGCCACTTGCTGAAACCTGCATGTGACAGGTGAAGTCAAACCATAGACTAAAATGCACTGCATCGCAAAAACAGCAGCAGTAACATCGGAAGAGAGGAAGCCTTTCTACGCTTTTTAATGGCCAAGGATATTTTATCTTGACCCGAAGGAAGTGGCCTGAGCTGCGCCAGCGCTTCTGTGTCCAGAGAACCCGGCGGCGGCATCGCTGGCGGAGCTGCCATGCCTGGAAGCACGGGCAAGCCACCTTTCAGGGACGAGAGTTGGTAAGAAGCAAGGACCAAACTGTCCGAAGACTGATCGCGGGCTACTGTGATACACAAGCTTCTCCGAAGCCGCAGTGATCATTGCAGCTTGAAAGGTCGCAAAGCACTCATGCTGTCAGTGGCGCGCTGGAAGCTGTCATGCGCCCACTCTGTCGATGCTTGCCGAGGGCTGCTGTCCTGGGTCCTATAACTTAGAGACTTCAAGTGCAAGGCCTTACTGCCCTGGCCTAGGCCCAGCCCCGGCGCAGGTGGGGGCATCTTCGCACCACCGAGGCAGGGTGGCAGCCCCGGCTGCGGAGGAGCCACGCCTGGCACCGTGAACTCTCAAGCCAAAGAAAAGAGTCGGCTCGAAGCTGCAAACGTGATCTCGCTGTCTTTCTTTCTGTGGGGCTCAGGGGAGGTTTCTCCCCCTCCTTGCGCTGTCGCGCACCAATTCTGGTGCGGAGCGAACAGCAGCAGGGTGCTTAGGTGTTCTCGCTCTCTTCTTCCACACAGCCAAAGAGAAGGCGATCTGCCCTCTCTCGCTCGCTCTCTCTTCCTTCCTTCGGGCGTAACCCCTTGCCGCATGGGCCCCCACTGTTTGTAGGGCTTTCAGGGAGTTTGGTGACTCGCTCGCTCTCTGTCTCTCTCTCTCTCTCTCTCTCTCACTCCCGCCTGGCAAAATCTGCTGCAATGCACCCAGGCCAGGCATGGCAAGGCCAGGCGGACCCGGCACGGCCAACCCCGGTGGCAGGAGCCCAGCAGGAGGAAAGCCAGGACCTTTTGGTGGCACGACTGTGGGCCCCGCGCCTGGGGGCAGAGTTGGGAGTCCTGCGGCAGGGTTTGCCACTGGAGCTGCAGGCGTTGGTGGCGGAAGGCCGGCAGGCAAGCCCGGAAAAGGGAAAGCTGCAGGATCTATAGCTCCTGCACAGCCACAGCAACAGCAACAGCGCGCCAGCGCACAGCAGCGTCGCTCTCCCATTCCCATCCCACGTCCCCACATCCTGGTGCGGGTGCCACGCCCAGACCCGCATCGAGCTCCCCAGTTCCTTCCTGGCACGGATTTGGTTGCCTAGGACCCCGAATAAGCAACAGCAGCCCGGCGAACCTATGTGCACCGGATCACATACCCTTGAAGCCTGAAGCGCATAAAAATCTAGGCCACTACCGTGTTCAGGAGCGTGCGGTTTGCAAGAACAGCTCGGTCTGCATCGGAACCACTTCAACTTCGTTTAGCCAGGCATCCCCTGGACCACGCTTCCGCCCCATGGCGCGACCCGGCCCCCAAATGGAGCCACGGACTCTGTAGACAATCGGACTAATCGGACTGCCGACTCAAAGGAAAGCGATGGAAAGCGTAGATTCGGTGTCTCGATGCTGCGCTGCAGTAATACGAGTTAAGGCACCTGCATTCCATAATCCTAGCAGTCTCACGATAGCTCTATCTCTTGATTTCTTGGTAGCTGAGATGGAAGATGATAGTAGCATTCTGTTGCAGTGCTTTAGTCGCTACACATGTCCTGTCTGTATGGGATTTATCTGGGCCATGACATGGCGGCCAAGGAGGTGCCCGTGAGCCCTGGAGCCACAGCCGGCCACAACATCGGACGACGCCATGAACGCTGAAACTACGTGTCTGCGAAGCCACCCAGTATCAGGTTAGGAGTTCTAATTACTTCACCCATCATCAGCCTGCCGGCCTGGCCGCGCCGTGAGGCATCTGAAGACATGGCTTCAAAGACTTTCTCTTGCCTAGACTGTGGCGCAAGCGAATCGAAGACAGCAATCTGGAAAAGCTGCTGGGAGCACAAACGCAAACTGGAAAGAGCTGTCAAACACGGGTGCTGCACTACCCTGGCGTAGTCAGTCTCCACCAAAATAAACTTTCAGCGAGATCTTCAGAATTGTCTGACTCGACGAGCACGAGTCTGGCCGAACGAGCTTGACAAGTTACATATCCGATAGTGCGACACTTTGTCCTACTACGCTAGCTCATAAAGGAAGAGAGAGGAATTTGAGTCGTGAGGGAGTGAGCGTGCGACATGGGCAACTTTTTCAATCAATGTGGCGGTTGACGGGCTCGGCATCCATTCTGGATAATCGATCTTGCCTCACATTTTCCAGATTTTCTGGTAAGCACACGGGCACACGGGGGCAATAAGTTACAGGCATCAGGCCACAGCAAGAAGTCCTAGAGAAGCTGCGTACAGGAGGGAAGCAGACAAACCGCTCGGGCAAGATGTGGAGAGATTTTAGTCCCCATTTCATGGAGGCATCGAACACTTTAAACGAGAGACCTTCGGCGAAGGAAATGAGTGCGTGGCTGCTCGTTCCCACGTATATCAGCTGATCTGCGCTTGTGTGTGCGTGTGTGTGTGTGTGTCTTGTAACAACATTGCGAGGTTGTAGATACCGATACTTTGGGAACGACGAACGAATCCTCATGGGCATTCGGGAAATCAGCAGCTCTTGCTTCTGCGAGGAAGGCCATGCGCAGGCTGCACCAGATGTGTCATCGCAAACCATATTGGCAAACTTTGCACATCTGTCATCAGGTCTCCGGAAGCCTTCGAACTCGCTCCTGCGATCAGTCGCCGTTCACATCGAACGTCAGCCACACTTGATGCACAAACTGCAAAACCACAAAGCAGGAAGAGTACTTCCCCCCAGCTGGGCAGCAGAATGTAAGAACTGACCTATGCGAACTCCACAGGCAAAAGCCGAATGATGCCTGCAGCCAGCTCGCCTCAGCCCCTTGGCTCGCTGCTGTTAGACAAGGACTTCAACTCCGAAGCTGATATTGGACATCGAGGCCGCAGCAATGCCGCGTTGTGCGATGGGGGAGGCGGCAGCTGAGAGCCCCTCGGAGGATATGAGAAGTGCTGTGTTTCAGGCATGGCCTCCACGCATTTGAGGTTTGCAGCTACCGTCCAAAGATGTCGTGAAGTTGCCAGGCATTCACCACCCCTGATGTCCTTGCCGAGAATCCGTCAACCGCTCAACGGATTGCTCAGCCAAAGACGATTCACTTCCTGCGGTAGCAAAGACCTCGCCGTCGAAAGGTAAGGAGCCGACTGCGGGAGCATGGGCAGCTGCCTGGAAGCCGCACTCTGAATTTGATTGCATCCTGTGGCGTCTCAAAAGCTTCGCCACGACTGTAAACATGCCTTTCACAAGAGGACGATTGGACGGATGCTTCCCCCACTGCTGGCAGACTGATGCGTAGCGTGGCGATTCAGCGTTGGGTTGCCTCCTCCCCCCGGTTCTGCAGGTCGCATCATTCATGTTAAGACTTAGCTACCCAGCTTAAAGTACAAAGCGGCGCTCGGAGATAAGTTTGACACTTGCTTATGTGGTTTGTCGATTAACGAGGGTCGTATTGATGTGATCTCTGAAGCTGCTCAATCCCAGCGTCACGGCATCCTTTTCTAAGTAGATCAAGTTCCAAGTCTTTTGCACGGGCAGCGACACATGAACGGACAGCAGAAGCTGGAGTCAGTGCACAACACCAATCTTGCAATCTAGCAGCTTTTCTCCTGAACCGGAGGAAGGTAGAGTGACTTCAGGCCACTTTCACTCAAAAGTATCCTTCCGGGTCTTCACGCTACTAGCTACTAGCGCTTGCAGCAAAGGAACGGCAGTTGCGAAGGAGGAGGCGGTTGAAGCTTGTGCTGCAACTGACCTGGTGTTGAGGTCCAAGTCTCAAAGATTGGTGGGCTACGATCGGGGCACGTCAGAATACCTTCACATTCTCAACTGGACCCGAATTGGCCAAGTGACGCTGCTGGTACTGGACCTGCGGAAAGGCTGAAAGGAGACCGGCTCAGAGGGCCCCCCCCCCCCCCCCCC